AAATCTCATATCATTTAGCTTCAGCCTGTATGTTTATATATGTTTCATAGTTTTTATCGTATCAAGTCATTACTATAATGTGAACTTATTCATAAACAAAAAATCTAAAATTTCTTCCATATTAAGATAATATTAAAGTCATATGATCAAGGTTTTTTAAAAAAAATTATCATATTTTTAAAAAAATACTAATCCAAGTTCCCACCTCCTCCCATTCCCTCCACAAACCCTCCAACCCCACCGCCATCTAATCCTCAGAGAAGGTAAGGCACATTGCTTTGTGGAAGGTTCAAGGCCCTCCCTGCTGTATCTAGGCTGAGCAAGGTATACATACAAAGAAAATAGGATCCCAAAAAGACAGTACATGCAGTAGGGATAAATCCTGGTGCCACTGTCAGTGGCCCCTCAGTCTGCCCCAGCCATGCAACTGTCAACCACATTAAGAGCAACTAGTTTGGTCCTATGCTTGGCCCTTCTCAGTCTGGCTGGAGTTGGTGAGCTCCTATTAACTCAGGTAAACTGTTTCAGGGGGTGCACCCATCATGATCTTGACCTCTCTTTGTTCATATTCTCATTCCTTCCACTCTTCAACTGGACTCTGGGAGCTCAGTTCAGGTGCTCCGATGTGGGTCTCTCCCTCTGTTTCCCCCAGTTGCTGTATGTTCTATAGTGATATTTAAGGTAATCATCAGTCTGATTACAAGGCAAGTCAATATCCTGCCCCCTCTCCTCTGTTGCTTAGGGTCTTAGTCTGGATCATCCTTGTGGATTCCTGGGAATTTCTCTAGAGCCTGGTTTCTATTAACCCTCAAATGGCTCTCTCAATCAAAATATCTCTTTCCTTGCTCTCATCTCTGTTCTTCCTTCATCTCAACTATCCCATTCCTTCAAGTTCTCCTCAGCCCTCTCCTTCTCCACACCTCTTCCCCTTTATCTTCCCTTCTCCCCCCACCCAATTTTGTCAGGCAATCTTGTCTGTTTCCAATTTTCAGGTGGATCTATCTATCTATTTTTCTTTAGGTTTATCTTATTACTTACCTTCTCTAGGATCATGAACTATAGGCTCAATATCCTTTGTTTATAGCTAGTATCCACTAATGAGTGAGTACATACCATAGTCATCTTCTTGGATCTGGGTTACCTCACTCGAGATAGTGTTTTCTAATTCCACCCATTTGCATGCAAAATTCAAGTTGTCATTGTTTTTTACTGCTAAGCAGTACTCTAATGTGTAAATGTGCCACATTTTCTTTATCTATTCTTCAGTTGAGGGGCATCTAAGATGTTTCCAGGTTCTGGCTGTTACAAATAATGCTGCTATGAACATTGATAAACAAATGCTTTTGTAGTATATTCAGCATCTTTTGTGTATAGCCCCAAGAGTGGTATTGCTGGATCCTGAGGTAGGTTGATTCCCAGTTTTCTGAGAAACCGCCACACTTACTTCCAAAGTAGTTACACTATGAACTCATAAATGCTTATTCCTAGTTAATGTATTAGAAATTCCAAACGAAAAAGTATCATTGTGCTATGTTATATTAAGACAATGTATAATGCACATCTTTTCATCCTCTTTTGAAAAAACACTGAATTATTTTTTAAATCATTTTTCCCTCATTGAAAATAGATTCTTTTTTTCATACAATATGTTCTGATTATAGTTTCCCCTCTTTCTACTTTTCCCAGTTTCTCCCACCTGCCCTCCATCCAGATCCACTCTTTTTATGTCTTTCATGAGAAAATAACAGGCTTATTAGAGATAACAATCAAACATAACAGAATATTATATATATATATATATATATATATATATATATATATATATATATGTATAGTGCATACCTTTAATCCCAGCACTCAGGGGGAAGAGTCAGACAGATCTCTGTAATTTCAAGGCCAGCCTGATCTACAAGAGCTAGTTCCAGGTCAGATTCTAAATCTACACAGAGAAACCCTGTCTCAAATAAAATAAAATAAAACAAAAACAATCACATCATGACTGGACAAGGCAACTCGACAGAGGTCAAACAGTTCAAAGAAAAGTCACAATAATAAGAGTCCCACTAATTCACACACTCCTGAGTTCCATAATTTTATTTTTAAGATAATAATCAAAGTGATGAATTTTATTATGATGCTATGGTACATAAATCTATTTTATTAATATTTTCAGCCTTTTCATCTTACTTTCCCATGCTCACTGATCATTTGGGTCATTTCCAAAATTAGTTTCCTTCCCAGTTTTATATAAAATAGTTCTCTATCTATCTATCTATCTATCTATATACATATTTCTAATAATATATTTGTTCTCTATGTATTTGTAAATCTGTGAAGAATGTCATTGGTATCAATAAAGCAACACAATGGGGAATAGACTTGTTGTGGGAGTCTAGAGCTGATGTTCCTGTCTCAACTATCTGCTTGAATTCTGAGCTGGTATAACCACTTCCTTACATTAATTTCTCTTCTCTATGTCTCACGATGTTTTTCTCTCATTGTTACATGTTCTGTCTGCCCTTTGTGCAACAAAACAGCACATCTGGATGTATCATCTTGATTAATATCAGGGTATCAAATGGAGATGAGAAGCAGAGATGATTGTGTGTATGGGAAAATCTTTTGTAAGTGAGAGAAGATGAGTTGGTGGGAAAAACAATGCAAAGAAGTCACTTTCTTGATCATATTTACTCAGTAATGGGAGGAGCTGAGGTCTCATGAATATTTGCGTAGAAAGGAGAGGCACAAAAAAGTGTGTTCTATCTCTTGGGTTATGTATAGCTCTTAGGGGAGGAAGAATATATTTTTTCTGTATCATGGACAACTGGCACCCCAGATAGTGGTTTGGACTGAGAGTTAGAGATGTGAGTTCAGTTCATGCACATCTACTTCTACAGGTGTTTGGAAATAGTATCTTTACTCTTCACTCCAGGTTTCTTCATCTGTAAAGGAAACACTGTTCTTACCATTTCTCTCCCAATTCTACAAAAACTGAATACCTGAGTGTCCCATTCTTTTCTGATTCAAAGGCTATTCTACTTCAGATTTATGTAAATTCTCACATTTGTTCAACTTTTCATAGAGTCATGGATCTATACAACATATATTCTTTATTACCTGGGATCCCTGAGAGTAGTCTAGATTCATACCACACAAAGGTGCTGAGAGGCAAACGCTCATGGCCTCTTTTGTTCATACTGTGACTATCAAAATTAGCATAATAATCTGTCATGAGCATTTTCCTTGGTGTCCAACTTCATGGCATTGGACCTTTGCAAACACAACTTTTTCTAAACCCCCCTTTTTAAATTTTTACATACAATATATTTTGATCACCTTTCCCCTCCCCACTCTTCCCTGATCCCTCTCATCCCCTCACCCACCTATGAAAAAGAATAACTTTTATCCTCAAATTTTACCTATTATTTTCTTGTTTGCAATGTCTCTACAAATTATTGGTGTTATTTATCTCATGTGAATGCCTAATGCAAACTAAAGAAACTACTGTAGGATTCCTTTTAAGACCTTCATGCATTTTAGAAACTATGTAATATTTTAAGTAATTTATATACTGTATGCTTTAGAAAATGAATATTCCCCAGAAACCAAAGATTGTTTGTTTTATACAGATTACCTGAATCACTATTATCAAACAACTGGAAAAGTTAGTAGATTGGTTTGGAAAATTGTAAACTATGAACATAAGAAAAAAAATAAAATAATCCAATATGAAAACTGTTGAAATCTAGTTGAAAAACTGATCTAGACCTCTGCATTTTAGTAAGAAATCAATATACTTTGGTGGCATACAAAAGTAATTATGGAGAAAACAGTACCATAAGAAATGAATTATGGCGTATTCCTGTGATTGTGTAAGATCTTAATATTGAGAAGGATGCAGAAAACAGAAAGAAAAACAAATATTAGGATTCAAAAGGCAGTTACCTTACTATTTACATCATCAGTCTACTGCAATTGTTATATTTATCCAGATGGTTTTGAATTATGATCTGTGAAAACCAGGGACAATGGGATGAGTCACAGCAGCACTGAGTAATTGCCATTGTAACTCAGACAGAATAAGTAGTAACCAGTCCTTCATACTGTTATGGTTTGGTTGGAATAAAGGTTTCTTTATCTTATAACATTTGGAAACACTGTTTAAAAAATTAGAAATGTCCAGATTCTCAGCAGAACTAGCACATGATGCCACTAAAACTACTTCAGTGATCTGGTCAGACATAGCACATCAAACACTGTACTCTGTCTTCTTCCAGTTTTAAATGTAGAGTTGGTTTAGCTTTCTATGTCATATTTTCCAATCAATTAGATTAGGTGTTTGGATTAAAATACATTTTTATCTATGGAACAGGAAGGCCTACAATTTTTGGATCTTTATTAAACATATGTATTTAGTCAAAGAAATATTATGAGATCAACGTTTCAGATTAAAGAGGAAGGAACTAGGAAAACAAATTGGCTGAGTAGGAGATGGGGCTGGAAAACAGAAATTCAAATAACCATTGAAGTAATAATCCTCATATTGTGTTAAAAGGAGAAAATGATTACTACCAATTTGTTAATTGTGGAAAGGCCTAGATAGCTTATTAAGTATGTGTTGAAGAGGCAATTGAAATCAGTCATGTTTTCTGTTGGGATCCTATAACACAAACACTTTCATTTCATAAATTATAGAATTTAATCATCCAAATGTTTAAACCTTCCCAATCTATATAAGAAGAGGAGATGAAATATGAACCTCATGGCATTTGGGGAGCTCCCAACAATGAGAAATAAAGTTCTTAAAACGCAGGCATTTTAATGCATTTCACACTAATTTGGAGATTCCCAAATAATGAGTGAATTAACCAATCTGTTTTGAGGGTGAATATGTCCTATGTTTCATATTAATGATTGCACTAATCATGACGAATTCAAGGCTAATTTTCAAAGAAGTGACGGTTCTTTGTCTCTCCTCACAGAGCTCTTCCAGTGTGATGCTGGGGCTGAATGTACTTAGGATTCCATTCCAAGGTTGACTTGAAAGGTGCGTGGAAGATCGAGAAAAGAAAGGTAAATGCTTACTTTGATCCTCAGTGTTTTGGTTAAGTGTATTTACAAAGTTTATGACGGACCACAGAGGTGTGCCAAGATGTAGCCAAGTGGGTACTTAATACTATTGATGTGACCAGCCCTCCTTCTTTCCTCTTGTTTTGTGTTATTACTTAACTTGCTCTCACTTTTAAAGTATTAGCACAAAGGAAGTAGAAATTGTCTCCAAACTGTAGAAAAGACATGATTAAGCAAGAATTTGATAATGTTGTGCTGGACTCTAAGAGGTGGCATTAAGTATTACTGGTAGGAATGTAATGGTGTGTAAGCCCATGTGTATTTGTCTGTGTCCATTGTCCATTAGTCAGCGTGTGTGTGTGTGTGTGCACTCACACGCATGTGCGCACACACACACACACACACACACACACACACAAACACTCTCCTGCTAATTTTTTCCATGACCTAGTATTATTTAATTTAAATGCATATTGACTTTGTCAGGGGACCCAAACATGCTGAGAAAACTATGAGGTAGCTGATAAAATAGCAATGCAATTTTCTCTTTAAAATATGTGTTATGTCATAAACTTTATTTGGACCATTTCTAACTAACATTTATTACTATAGTTTAACTCTTTTGGAAGGATTTATTTCCTTAGTGAAATCATAAATCTTTACATTTTGTCATAGTTTGCTTGATATTTACAAAGCCAATATGAATGATTTTCAATCTCTAATATTTATGTAAAGTTGGGTTTATGGTTTCATTGTGCTATTATTCAGATAACTAATTATATTCAGGTAACTATATATATGTGTGTGTGTGTGTGTGTTTAAATGAAGCAACTCCAAAACCAGACTCTTGTAAATGAGGCAAATCCCCTAATCCTGAAAACTAATCATGCTTTGGTCTACTTAGATTGGAAACCCAAAATTTGAATTTCTTTTTTTTAATTTTATTTCCTTAGCAGGGTCTCACTATAAAGCTCAGGCTGTCCTGGAACTCATTATATAGATCAGGGTGACATCAATCGTGCAGAGATACCCTGTCTCTGTCTTCCAAGTGCTAGGATTATAGGCCTATGTCACCATGCCCAGCATAAAAAAAAAAGTGAGGACTTTTTTTTATATAATATTCTATTTCCTACATTAACTTTTATTCCCCCCCTTTTTGGAAGAAAGCCCCCAAAGGGAAAGGAATCATTTTTATGAACTTCTTCAGAAATATTTCTCAATGGATTCCCTTTGTCACTGGCAAAGCCCAGAATCTAATTTTTGTGTAAATTGCCTTCCACATTTCTATACCTTTCTCAAGATAGAACCACCATAACTCTCCTGAGGGATTTGTGTCAACTGTGTTAATTATAGTTAAATACTTCCCAGTTATTTTATTTTCTGCTTTACCTATGGTTATGCTGTGGTTATTTTATCAACTTTGTCACTTTGCCAAACACAGAATGAAATAACTCAACATTTAGCCAGAATTTATGATTTTCAAAGTGATGTGACCAGTTTTGACTCCATTTTCTCATTAATTATCTTTATGATGAAGTGAAGCTGAAACTATAATCCTCATTTGGCAAGCAGGGAAACAACAAGGAGCCCACATGATTTGCAAAAGTAATTTACCCATGGTTCATAGCACGTAATTAATAATGAAGTAATTAATAATGAATGACAGACCACATGCATTTCTAACATCTAAATTTTGTGTAGTAAGAATTATTAGTGGTCACAGTAAAGTTAATGGTAACACTGACATACTCCATCTTTATGATTGCTTTTGATAATATGATTCCATTCTCTTGTAAAAAAATATTTACTTTTATGGGATCAGAGATAATTAGATTTATATTAAAATAATCGTCTTCATCCCTGTTGACATACCAGTACAACATTATTTAACAACAACCTTTTCTTTTTGTTTATGTCCAATATCTCATATTGATAAATATCACAATACAAAAACATTTAAAACTTAAAAGTTTTTCCACATTCTTTACACATTCAAACACCTTAAAATTCTATCTCTTTAAAAAAAAAAACCAAAGTCTTTTAAACAATAAAAAGTTTCTGTAAAAAAATTCAAAGTTTATCAGCTGTGGATTCCTATAAATGCAAAATAAATACTAAAGAGTCTCAAATCTAAACTAAGCAAAATGAACTCTATCAGTGTAAATCAGTCAGTGTTCAATGGTTGGGATTGGGCCATGATCTTCTGGGCTCTTCCCATGTGCTTTCCACTGAACATATAGCCTATCACCCTTGTTCAGGCTGGCTTTACTTTATCACCTCTGCTGTCCTTGGCAGTAATACAATCTTGCTGTCATCTTCAAAATGTTGGGGTCTCCTGCTGTAACTAATCTGCACTTTCATCAACAACCTCCTGTAAGGAGGCTCTTTCCATGGTGCTGAACCTCAATTTGTCTGTATGATCCATTCAATCCTTGTGCTTCACCTGATCTTAAGGCTACACTTTCTGATTGACTCTTCTGTCCTTTCTCACTGCCAAACCTCGCATGATCTCCTCCATCTCCTTCATACCTTCAAAACCAGCACTCCCTGAGTGACTCTTAAACTACCAAATTCAATTTCCAGCGCAATGTACATCCTTGACTGCTTCTGAACCACAGGTTCTGTTTGCTACCTCTGAGGGAATGCTCCCTCAAGGATGCTCATCTCTTCTACATCACTGGTAATTGTTCAACTCCAGTCAACCAGCTTTATTTGTCCCAGTAAAGCAAAGATTTCACTTCAGTGTTGCTAGGCATTTGTTAATCGTGAATGGTTCTTTAGTTCCAGTTGATTAGAACCACAAATTCATAATTCAAATTAGTAAATGGCTCCAATTGAGCCTTTTAAAATTTCTTATGAACATTTAAAGTCAGGCCTCCATCAGCTGCAGCTCTTCCGCCATTGTCTTGTCAGCTCCAATACTATTGACTATGGAACTTTCAACATGCAATGAATTTTTAGCCCCAAGTTTCAAAGACCTTCCACAGAAATAGTATAATTACGTCTGTTACAGCAATACCTCACTCCTGGTACCAATTACTATCTTAGTTAGCCTCACTGTTGCTGTGATGAGATATCATAGCCAAAAGGGACATGGAGAGGAAAGGTTCATTTGGCTGACATATCCTGAATCACAATCTTTTGATGGAAACCAAGGAAGTAACTCAAACTATATTGGAACCTAGAGGCAGAAACCTTGAAGAAGTGCTGCTTACAGACTTGCTCCCCATAATTTGCTAAGGTTACATTTAAAGAGATCGCAGGACCACCAGTCCTGGTGTGGAACACCCACCATAGACTGGCAATTCCACATAAATCACTAATTAAGAAAATGTATATCAGGGCTGCCTACAACAGGATCTTATGGAGGCGTTTGCTCAGTTGAAGTTCCCTCCTCTGAGATGACTCTAGCTGAGTTAAGCTGACATAAAACTAGCCAGAACAGTCCTTTCGAGCCCTTCCCACCCTATATAGTTCTTGCAAAGTTTCTCTTATTAACTTTATGTTTGCTCTGATTAAAAATAAGTAAATAAATAAATAAAATAAAGGAGGAATTATCAGTAGATTATTAATGAATCATGAGAGAAATTATTTTGAACAATGGTGAATCCCTTCCGAGAAGAGAGTTTAATTTTTTGTGCAGTTCCCAAAACTGATTCTGAAACTTGCTAATTAAGGTTCAGTTGTGATTGTAGTGGCAGGCCTTGTTTCCACAGGTCTAAGTGAACATTAACCACATATTGCCGTAAATAATGCATATGCATAATGCCAGAGACTCACCATAATAGGGAAGTGTATTTTGAGAAGCCTTCATTCTTGGGCATTTATAGACTTATCAGCCCAAGAACCAGAGGTATTACAGGAAGGATAAATTAATTGGAGGCACAGATTTGAGAGTTAGGTTGATCTGTTTGTCTCCTTATAGCAATTCCAGATTTAAAATTTGAATAATTTATTATGTAAAATTTATAGTTATTATACTGACAAAAAGGAACGTTATAATTTATTATAAAAGTTTGTTCACAGATAGCTGTAGCGTTTTGCAATAAGCCTTAATGCTACCTAAAATTCATTACGTATTACAGTGTAGCTTATGATATCAGACTACAGCTCAGCTTGATACTACGCTCTCTAGGATCATCCAAACCCAACAGTTAAATAACTAACCTTTCTTTCCGATTTTGCCTATATGTGAATCTTTATTTATATGCCTTGTGCCTGTCTTCATTGCGGTCAATTAATCCCTTTTGTATTGTTTTAATTACTTCAGTCATTTTAAATCACATTTTTAAAAACTTTTTCCACCTTTATTATAGTGATGTAATTTCTTCTCTCTTTTTTTTTTTTAAGCTGGGTCAAGACTTCATTTTCATTGTGTCTTACCATATACCATCTGCTCAGATTGTACATGTAGATAACCATTGGCCTTATTCCTCTGTGACTGACAGAAATAAGTGATCTATTATGTCCCACGCACAGCATGCAATAGTTTCATAATAAGTATTCACTGAGAATTATATCTATATAATTATATCATATATAAATTATGTATGTGACATCTTTTCAGTTTAGAACGTTGGTCTCTGTGCCAGCATTTAACTGAAGAAGATTTTTCAAGAAAAAATTCCAGGATATTTCTACTATTATATGGACTTAGAAGTTAGAGTGACTGTAAAGTTACTTTTTCTAAAGACAGGTGTGAGTTGCTTATGCCTATATGCCAGCATTTGGGAAAAATATAAAATCACTGTGAGTCCAAGACCAGTGTGGGCTACAGAGTGAGTTATATACAGGTCAGCCTGGGCTGGAAGAGAGAGACCCTGCCTTAAAAAGTGACTTTTTAGAATTTATTACAATTCACAGGTTAGAAAACGATCATCTTTAGAAGTAAACGAACTACCTGCTCATTGATGCTGCCTGTAGCAGAGAGACCCCGGAATCCTTCCTATGTGCCACGATTTCTGATTTTCCCTGTCATCAGATTCCCATCCATGTTTAACCAG